AATGAAAGAGAAGTGATGTCTAAAAAAGATATAAAGCGTTTGCGACGATCTCATCGACAAATATTATTTGCTTTAAATGCTATAATTGCGAGAAAAGCGAACAATAACTTTGGAGACAAAGAAATGGTCGATATATTAAATAATGCCAATTTGGATGAAGATTTAAAAATTGAATCTATGATCCATTTTTAGGATATTTGTGCAAAATATCTTCAATTGAAATATTTAATAATATTGCAAATCATTATAAAAAAATATTTATTAATATAAAAAAGTTTGTGTTTAAATACGCCCAATAAATGGGAGATATACTCAATTAATGTTGAATTAAAATAGATAACACTCGAAGATATGTGGAATATTAAATATGTGAGATATTAATAATTTTATATAAATGTAAAGTTTATTTACATTAAATGAAGAACAATGATGTCTACTTGTTTTAATACTTCATGTTAATATTAATTGCAACAAATTATCACCAAACAGTTTAATTAATAATAATAATTTAACTTTAATTAACTATAAATTTCTAACTAAACTTGTATTCATAATTAAAATAAATTAATGATATTATTTTACCATCATGTTTATAATTTTTATTTTATTATTATAACATGAATTTATTATGTTTGTTTAATACAGTTATTTATTTCATCAAATTATGGCTACTCCATCACTCGTCTGTTGAATGATTTGATAGAAATTGAATGATAAGTAATGAAATTGTGCATTAAAATATTTCAAATTTATTACAAAATATACCATGTTTCAAAATTACTTTGGTATTAAATCTATAAATGGGTTTGAAATAAAATATTAAATCTTTTTAAAATTCTTGCATAACGTAAGTTTTTGTCATAAAATTATTTTTTTAAAATAATTAATAATTTACAATATAGTTTGCATTAAATATTCGTGTTTAATTGATTAAAAAATTACCAGTTTGTGTTTGTTATAACATGTCCATTTTATTAGTTAAATAGATTGGAACATTAAAATACTTTGATAACAATTTATAAATTGTGCAAAAACTTAATGATTCTCAACCTTAACATTAAAGGAAATATCGTTTTTATGCTGTGCTTTATTACTCTTAGTCTTGGACTTAGAGTTTTTAGCTCTTGAGCCACCACTTCGAGCGGTGGATGTCGGGGAAGGAGTGGGCGAATAGGTTCCTGAATGGGCTTCAGTTTCATGAGTTGGGCCGCCAGTGCCGTGCGTTGAGCCGTGCGATGCTTCTGATGTATCACCGGTTGGTTGATTTGAATCGGTTGTATCGGTGGTGGCCTGTCGTCGATCTCTAACTAATATCCCGCCACTCCTCTCATCCAAAGACTCCGACTTCAGGACATAACCTGTTATTAAGAAATATAATATATGTTTATGTGAATGCATTGTTCATATGTTTTTAAGACTTACTCTTCACTTCAGTTATGCCCGCAATTGCCGTAAATATAACAAAAATACTTAATAATACCACAAATGTATTCATTGCTTATTATTATTGTTACTGTAAATTGAATGCAAAAATATGTGTTTAAATTTATAAATTTAGCGCAAACCTAGTACTGTACGTACAAATGCTGAATAAATATAGTTAATTAAATATGAACTGCAATCAATTCTTTGTAAACACTGTTAACTATTTAAATATACGCATACTTTCCAAGAAAATCTAGTTTTGTATTATATATTTTAAATAATTATTAAAATGTTATTTGCATAGACCAGGGACAAGCCGTTAGGGTGCAAACTGTCGTCAATTTTTAATCATATAATATTTAATTTTTGTTGGTTTATTAATTTTAAATTAATAATTTATTCGAGTAAACTTTAACCCTAATTAATATTTTTTTTAATCAAATTAAAATTAAAACATTACTAAAACACAAACCTTTCTAACCAAAGAATAATAAGTTTTATTCTTAAGAAATAAATTTTATTTTATAAATTATAAACTTAATTGCCTATTTTAATTTTTTACATTATTATTATTATTATTATTATTATTTCCATTTTTCTGACCATCTTCTACTTTAACAACAACAGTAATATTATTAACATATCTCCAACCATCACTACCTCCTCCACCCCTACCGCCATTGCTGTCATTTACACCATTTCTCAGTGCCTTTGAAGGGGTCATCAATTGTTCACAACTTAAATCTAGGATAAAAATATTATTAATTTATTGAAAAATAAAACATGCAATTTATATATTATGCCAAAACTTAATGACTCCTAACCTTAACATTATACGATACTTTGTTTTTATTCTGTCCTTTACTACTCTTAGACTTATTCTTCTTTGGTTTCTTAGTCTTCGGTTTAATTTTCCGAGTGGTAGTGGACAGGGGAGGCGGTCGGGTAGGGAGCGTCGCGGCCGATGGAGTAGCCGTAGCGGACGCGGTAGGGCCCGCTGTAGGGGCAGCAGTAGGAGCAGCGGTTGGGGCAGCGGTTGGGGCAGCGGTTGGGGCAGCGGTTGGAGTAGCCGTCGGGGCAACGGTCGGGGCAGCGGTCGGGGCAGCGGTTGGGGCAGCAGTTGGGGCAGCGGATGGTGTGGGGGACGAGGATGGAGACGGGGCTGGGCTTTGAGTCGGTTGTGTTGAATCTGTAGCGGCCTGTCGTCGATCTCTAACTAATTGCCCGCCAATTGTTTCATCCAAAGACTCAAACTTCAGGACATAACCTATTATTAAAAGAAGTTTTTGTGAATACATGTTTAATAAGTTTTAACACTTACTGTTCACTTCAGTTATGCCCGCAATTGTCGTAAATATAACAAAAAGACATAATAATACCACAAATATATTCATTGTTTTTTTATAAATGTATGTAAATTAATTTTTTTTAAATATATGTTTAAATGATAAATTTAGACTTATTTTTTAGCAAATGTCTGAATAAATATAATTAAGTGAATACAAATGTACAGTTAATGCCCAAATTTTCCATGAATGTTTTAGTATTAAACTTATATAATATTATCATGATAATTAAATTTGTTTGAATAGACCAGGGACAGGTTTTGTGTTTACAAACTATTGTTAATTTTTAATTATTTAATTCCTGTAAAATATTTAATTTATTTTTAATACATCTGCCATAATTAATATTTATTTAAAAATTAAATTAGTAATTAAAATCAAATTATAACAAACTTTAAACAAAGTTTAATGATATACAGTATTAATAGAAATTATAACATTTATCATTAAGTTTAGTCATTATTATTGTTATTTACATTATTATTTTTATTTCTATTTCTATTGCGACCATTTTCTACTTTAACAATAACCGTAATATTATTGACATGTCTGCCACCACCACCGCGACTGCCATCTCTGCCGCCGCCTCCGCCGCCACTTCCGCCTCCACCTCCACCTCCACCGCCACCTCCACCTCCACCTCCACCGCCACCTCCACCTCCTCCGCCACCCCCATCATCGCCATCGTTGCCGTCATTTCCATTATTTCTTTGTCTCTTCTTTTTGGTTTTCTTTTTGTTTTTCTTTGTGTTTTTCCTCCTCTTTCTGGGTTTTTGCGTACTTTCGTAATCTTCAGTGTTGTGTTCATTATTCTCATCTTCGTTTTGATTATTTTTATTATGGTAGTGGTGGTGGTGGTGGTGCTCGTGGTAATGCTCGGTATCATAGCTATTGCTGCCACAACTGTCACAACTATTACAGTTAGTGCATCTTCTGCTGGATCTCTCTGCCCGCCTCTCCGCTCGTCTCTCTAATCTCCTCCTATACTCGCATTCGTGATGCCGTTTGCGTCTGATTAATGGCACCAATTCCTCCGCATTCCTCTTATGCAGACTTTTTATTCTTGTTATCAATTCATTTGCTATGGATTTATACATAGAGTTAATCAATGATATAATATTTTTAAATAGTATTTTGCTTACTTATGGCCTTTGTTTGGTCCGGAATTTCAATAAATGCAATAATAATAGAAAAACATAACAACAGAAAACAGTTCATTTGGAAAGTTTTGCTCAATCACTGGATATAAACATAAAGCGAATAATGAAAATGAGACTCAATTCTGTTGAAAGCACTAAACGATGAATAAATATTAAAAATCAAACATCAATCAGTGCTGATGTTATGTAAGCCATTGTATTGTGAATATTGTATAATCAGAAATATTTATTATTTAATTTTATAGAATTTATAATAACAGACAAAAAAAATTTGCTGCAATTTAAAATCAAACATCAATCAGTGCTGATGTTATGTAAGCCATTGTATTGTGAATATTGTATAATCAGAAATATTTATTATTTAATTTTATAGAATTTATAATAACAGACAAAAAAAATTTGCGACATTTCTAGTAATTTCGTTTTTAATTAATAATTATCTAATTATTATCGTTTAAAAACAATTACCGGTATTATAAATTCATGCATTGTAATAAAATTCATAAACACATACAGACTATAATAACTATAATTTTAAACAATATGTGAAATATTACAGGCATTGATCGCAAGAGATATTATAAATTCAATTGTGAACCATTTGCTTAAGCAATTCAATAACATGGGGCACATTCATGTCGGTCATAAACTGAGCGTTTCGGTGACCAGTAAACCGTTTCCGTTGCGTCCGTCCCGTCCTATCGACCACTAACTGTCCTCTCGTCAGATGTCCAGTCAATTCAATGGCCACCGGATAGTCACTACTCAACGACACCAACTCCGGGAAGAGAGCGGCGATTACAACAGTTATATCGCATAGAACTACACCATCACTGGACCGGCCTATAGTTTACACCATTTTATTTAAAGTAATTTTAAAATATACAAACAATTGCAGAGTTTAAATACCAAATACTTTATGATGTGTTTGATTTTCGTAGATTTTGTGTATAAAATGTCCCCGGTCTTTACCAGAGTTTATTATCTCGTCAAATATATTCTAATTAAATGACAAATAAAATTATAGTAATTAAATTGTTATTGAATAATACTGTGTAAAAGGTAAGGCACAAACCCATGGCATTCTGAGCTTAAGGCATGTATCCCAGGGCACAATAATTAAGGGACACTGACTATTGGCCAGTAATACTTGCACCGCTTCGGGATCGTTGAAATAATTAAATTCAGTGGTGGGGCCGACATTGCCCATCGTGTCCAGTAGTCCGCCCATTGACACCACTTGACCCAAATTATCAAAAAACTGTGGGTCGATGTGATGGGCGAGCGCTATGTTAGTGACCGGACCCAGAGTTAGCAGTTTGATCTGTTTTGGGTATTGTTTGGCTAATCTGACCAAAGCGTGCGCCGCGTCTTCGCTCTCGTGTTTAACGTCTATCGGAGCCATCGTTTCGGTACTGTTTCCGAGTCCGTCGGCGCCCATAAAACCGTCTTCAAAGCCTAGTTTTGTCATCAATGGATTACCGCATCCTTTGTATACTTTGATGTCTTTCTGTGGATTTAAACGAAATTTGATTTTAAAATATTGTTTTCTGTTTACGTAAATCACTGTTTACTTTAAGATTAAAGAGCCGTTGCGTTAACAATACATTTCTGACCACTTTGTCGACCATAACATTTCCGTACACACATGTTATGCCCAGGATTTCAATTAATCTCCGTTTATGGCAATCAAATGCCACCATTAGAGCCAACGCGTCGTCAATACCGCAGTCGGTGTCTATAATTACATAATTTGATTGTTTGGCCATTATTTACAGTTATGTTATTTTTTGGTTTAAAAATAAATTTATATTAAAATTCTTTAAAAGTTTAAACTGAAGACACGTCGGGAACACAACAAATGAATGCTTTCAATGATTGCAAACTCTGACCACTATTTGTGCCTATTTTTCTCTAAACTCTGTTATCGTTAACTACAGTATATCTAAAGTTTAGATAATTTCAGTTTCGGTCCTTATGTTTAACACACATATCAATAGTAATAAATTAAATAATCGGTGATATAATCAAAACATACATTAAAAAGATAGTAAACAAATACTCGACAACAAGATAAAGCAAACTTTTAATTGGTAATATGTTTAATTCATACACAATAATTAAATTTTACTTAAAATTCACTATATCTGAACTAGTATACATTTTATAAACATAAATTGTCATCAACTCATCTTTATAACTTGTTATTATTGAGAAACTAATAAATTGACTTTTGCTATTGTAGTTGAGACAATTTGGGAAATTTTATAATAACCATATGGTCAATTGATCTATAGATAAATTCAGGCTTTTATAAAATGCTGAAATTTCAATGTCAAGTTAATTTTAAATTATATCAGTTCATTATAATCGAGTACAATACCCAACCAACATGTACAATTGGTATCAGAATTATTAGGTAATTTATTAACTATTTTAGTGATAATTTGATTTCTATATATCTTAATTGAATTAATCTCAAATGTTTTCAATTTATAGTTTTCTAGTACTGCTTTCTAGTTCCAAAAAATACCATGATGTTGTTTTCGCAAACAAATTATTTTACTATCTGATTTAGTATTTTTTATATAATTATTTTAATACACAATTGAAGTGTTGAAATAATTTCTAACAACTGTCTGCGACCAATATTTTATTATCAAAACACCACACATTTAGTACACATGTCTTTACCTTAAGATTCAGGTTCCAAATCTGCATATAATAAGGATGTTGTAAATAAGGTAATCATTATTAGTATTAAAATACTAGACAAATAATAATGAAAACATTACAATCATTAATATTATTTAGTATTGGTCTATTTGTTAACACCATTTACTGTTTGGACAATGAGATTAATGTAAAATACGAGCCAAACTGGGAATCACTGGACAAACGGCCACTGCCTCAATGGTATGATGAGGCAAAAGTAGGCATTTTCATACATTGGGGAGTTTTCTCGGTGCCCGCCTTTGACAGCGAATGGTTTTGGTCTGTTTTGACACATATTTTTATAATCCATATAATGTTTTAATTGATAATTATTTTATAATATTTTTCCAATAGTTATAATTGGGCGGCAAAGAAGCAGAAGAATGTGGTCGATTTTATGACCCGTAACTACAGACCCGGGTTCACGTACGCAGACTTTGCCAAAGAATTCACCGCCGAATTGTTCGACCCTGATAAATGGGCTCAATTGTTCAAGTATTAACATTAACATTAATTGTATAGTTTGTTATTAAACAATAGTTTTGATGCAGAGATTCCGGGGCCAAGTATGTGGTGCTGACGAGCAAACATCATGAGGGCTACACTATGTGGCCGTCAAAGACCTCCTGGAACTGGAATGTCATGGATGTCGGGCCCAGACGTGACTTATTAGGTATGGATTGACGTTATGTTTTCCATTTAATTATTATTCAATTTCTAATTACAGGCGATTTGGCCGTATCTGTCCGTAAGACTGGCCTTAAGTTTGGTGCCTATCACTCATTGTTGGAGTTTTTTAATCCACTCTTTCTCGCCGATCAGAGCACTGGATATAAGACACAGGAGTTTGTCAAAGTATGTGTTCATTTATAATTGTCTATAATATTATTAATATCAATATGTCTCTTAACATTTGATTATTTATGCCATAAATAAAATTTAGGCCAAAGTATTGCCAGAAATGAAGGAATTGGTCAATACATACAAACCGGACGTTTTGTGGTCAGACGGAGAGTGGGTCGCCGACGATAAGTATTGGAGCGCTACTGACTTCTTGGCCTGGCTTTACAACGAGAGGTTGTTTTACATAATTATAATAGCATCAAGATATAAATTATATTTAACACTACTTGACAATAATTTTATACCTACTTCTTATTTAAATTGTATAGTCCTGTTAAGGATACGATTGTTACAAATGACAGATGGGGTAAAGTTTGAGATACAGACATATCTTATCTCAATTTGTTGTTATTAATTGTGTGGTATTAAACTTGCCTAGGTAGTAACACGAAATGCAAACATGGTGGATTTTATACATGTCAGGACAGGTATAATCCGGGGGTTATTCAAAACCGCAAGTTTGAAAATGCCATGAGTTTGGACCGCAACTCGTGGGGCTTCAGAAGGGATGTGCAGTTAGACGCCTATTTGAACATGTGGGATCTGATTGAACAATTGACCAAGACAGTTAGGTTAGTGGTCAATTTATATTTCAGTTAACAAATAATAAACACTTATTATATGAATGAACGCACAGTTGCGGAGGAAATCTGTTAATAAATATCGGTCCGACGGCTGACGGAAGGATTAATTTGTTATTTGAGGAGCGGTTGAGAGACTTAGGCTCTTGGCTTAAAGTGAATGGAGAGGCCATTTACTCGACTAAGCCGTGGAAACATCAAAACGACACAGTTACACCGTTTGCATGGTCAGTTGCAGTATTAACAATATTTTAAAAATTCACAGATTGCATATACAGTCCTCCCCCAGTTTTGACACAAGCGATTTAAACAGATTTCGGTTTTAACATATGTTTTTACTAGCACCGCTGAGTCATATTAGTACTGTTAATGTACTCGATTTTAACAGAATGCGATTTTAACACATATTTTTTATAGCACCGATGACATGTCAAAACCGGGGGCAGACTGTATGTTAAAACAGCCATGTTCAATTTAAGGTATACCTCAACGGATAAGGCGGTGTATTTGATATCATTGCGATGGCCGGACAATAACAACGAGCAGGAGTTGGGAGCACTCGACCCGACCATTGTGTCCAAAATAGAGTTATTGGGAGTTTCGGGTGAATTGAAGTTTAGCCCGAAAGGCAAGGGAACTGTAGTGACATATCCACCCCTAACACCGGGAACGGCATTAAAACACGCTTTTGTACTCAAAATATACACTAAATAAGTATTAAAAACTAAATAATGTAATAATAAGTATGACACATGCGACAATTTCATGCAAATTATATAAATGTTTGTTATAAATAAAGTATACTTAAAACTATTTCAACTATTTAACTTATAATTAATCTTTATTATTATGTTTTTAAGAAAGAGTTATACAGTTTATGTATATAAATAATAATTTAAACATATTTCACTCTATTATTAGTATTCCGTAAGGAATTAGAGCATAAAAAGCACATAAAAATATAATCTGATTGTAAGTGATATTGAAATCGTTGTGAATGTGTTTAAATGTGTTGAAAACAATAGGCTTCACACGAATAAAGCAGAGATTGACATCAATTATACAATAAGATTGCAGTGTCTGTTGCTTTTTGAAGACACAAATTTATGTTATAATTTTAACTTTTAATTATTTTAACTCATTTTTATCGTCAAATGATGAGTAAATTCAAGATATTTAGCAGAAGTGAAATCCCATTTATGTTTTCATAAAGAAGTGAAATGTGTTTTGAGACACTTCTCCTGTTTTCAGACAAAACAAAACTGAATTTCTTATGGATTGGATGCAAACACTCATTAAGAGATTCCTATGGATTTCAATTGTTTTATTAAGTTTTATATTAATTTTAAATTTCATACTTAAATATAACTCAACTGATAATAAATTCAATAATGGTTTGTGACTATGAAAGAAAAATATTATTGCTTCTAAAAAACTAATAAACATTTTTGTGACTGATTTTAGATTCAATATTAGACGTGAATAGAAATCAAAGTAATTATAAAAATTATAAGAGAGTGAGACGACAGACAAAGTCAACTAATAAAGCAAAAGCAAAAAGTGAAGAAATATGTGACAGCAATGAATGCGAAACTTATGGGAAATTATATAAACAATTGATCGACACGTCTGTGGATCCGTGCCATGACTTCTATGATTACGTTTGCGGGAAATTCACCAAAAGTACAGTCATTCCCGAGAATATGGTCTCATTTGGTGCGCTGGAGAGGGCCGACGAAAAGGTGACACAAATAGTAAAGCGTGAATTGAGTGAATCTCACAAACGGTGTGATTCAAAGTCCATCAAATATGCCACCAATTTATACAATGGATGCACTGATTTTGGTATTCATACCGTTATAATCATTGTTTTAAATATTATGTTAAAAATTTAGTTGTTTTCTAAACAGCAAAACTAGAGTCGCGAGGAATTAAACCACTAATCAATGCATTGAATTCAATCGGCGGATGGCCTCTAATACCGAACACTGTATTCAATGGCAAAACATACGATCGTTTTCATGCCTTATCTCTAGTGATCGCCAACTTTGCCTTGAGTTCAATCATCGAAATCGGTGTTCAGCCGGACATCAGAGACAATACAAAGAATATACTTTACGTAAGTTTAGGGCATTTTCACAAATATTTGCAGAAATGATGCCCAATCTTGTGTTCAGTTAGGTTCGGCGCCGGACCTGTCTTTAGAGTGGAAGAAGCGCTGGAATCGGCGAAACCGGACACGTCTTATGGTACCCATCATTCCCACTATTGCTGACGATAACATGAATTCAATGGACGAAATAAAAATGATCCGCGAGTTTGTGTTAACACAGTGTCTTATAATGGGAGCCAAAGACAGTGTTCGCACTCTTCAACAAATTGATGAGTTGTTTATGTTTTCCTCACGACTCGAAAGCGTAAATTGAATTCTCATTTATACTTATTGTGAGTTTAAAAAGTGATTTAATTTTTAGATTCAAACCGAAGAGACGAATCTGGATATGGTTTACAACAAAATGACTTTCAAACAATTGAATGCATTGTCATCTAATAAAATGGATTGGGTTTCACTCATTAACAACATCTACCGCATGAGTGGCACAAACGCGCGCTTCACTAAAGAGGATCAGCTCATTGTCACTGATATTCAGTATTTTACAAAATTGCCACAAATATTACTGAAGACACCGAATAGAGTTATCGCAAACTTTTTAGGCTTTTCAGTCGTTCAGATGTTAAGCGATTATACGATCAAAAAGTTTAGGCAAATGGACTTTGAATTACAGAAGTCGTTGACAGGCATTACAACTCCGCCCGAAGACTGGAAACTATGCGTTGAATTAGTGGACGGCTTAATGCCTTTCGCCACGAGTCGTAAATACATTGAAAATAACTTTGATTTGAGAGCCAAAAGAAAAGTTAGTTACAAAAAGGCTGCAATTGTTTTTACGAAAATTAAAATTTTACTGTGTGCTTAAATTTTAATTATGCTGTGTTTGTTGTGTGCTTACAGTCAACAGAATTAGTGAATTACATACAAAAAGCGTTTTACAAATCGCTTCAAACGAATCCAGTGTTAGAGAAGTCGACGCGAACCATGACTTTGGCTAAAGTGAAACAAATGACCAAAAATATCGGATATCCCGACTGGCTGTTTGATGACCGCACTCTCGACAGTATGTATAACTTGGTCAGTATTTATTGGCACTTATAAAATTGATTGCAATTTAGTTAACACTTTTAATTCACAGGATATGGAGTGCAATAAAGATAAAACATTTGAATGCATTTTACACCTCTTGAAGCGATCGGTTTACACAAACTTCAAGTCCATTGATGAGCCCGTGAACGCAACTTTAAAGTAAGATATAATTATAATCAAAATATCATTGAATATAAAAATATTGTACATTTATTTATATAAAGTATAATTATCGTAAACTTTTAGCTGGCCATTTGCGCCGACAACAGTAAACGCGGCGTACTTTCCAACATTTAACTCGATCAGTTTGTTTTAACAATAAATTATAACAGTAAACAATACTAACATTTTACCCTATTGTACACAATGTAGCTGTACCAGCTTCGCTAATTAATACATTCTTTAACTGCGATAACCCTTCGTATATAAATTATGCTACTTTAGGACTCGTGAGTAAATTATTTGCAAATTGCAATTGTGTTATGATTTACGCATTGTTTTGTTGTTTATTTATAGATAATAGGACATGAAATAACTCATGGATTTGACAGCTCTGGTTAGTGCTCATTGTTTAGACAATAACATTGTATATTAAATCATTGCTTATTCATACAATTAAAAGGCAGTCAATTCAATGAAAAGGGCAATTTAGGCACCATTTGGGACAAACCAACTCAAAGGAGATTCAATCAAAAGGAGAATTGCTTTATAAACCAATACAACAATTACTGTGATTCCGGATTTTGTGTTTGTTTTGCCGTATTTTACGCTATGATTGCAAATATAATGATATACTGTATATCAGGTGAGCGGTGAGAATACAAAGACGGAGAACACTGCGGACAACGGGGGTCTCAGGAATACATTCAAAGCCTATAAGATGTGTAACCATAACGGAGAGAAACCAAAACGGTTACCGCATGTCAGCCAATACACACCCGACCAGCTATTCTTCA